GCAGTATTTCACATCTCATCTGGATTTTTCTCTGAAAACTCCCATCCACGTACTGACCAGCCCCCACCAGAACTATTAGGAATTTGTCGGCTTGTACTTGGTGTGATTTCTATTTCCTCTAAACTGAGCTAGATATCTGTCTCCTTACGAGCTGAAATGCAACACAGTTGACACTCCTATTTTCAGTTTGCTTGCTAAAATGACGAGTAAAGTAGGGAATACAATTTTAGAAAGAAACAACAATAAAGCAAAAGGAGTAATGCCAGCAAATGCTTATGGTTTTAGTGAAGACATTACTGAACTGACTCAGAACGAATTTATGGTGATTGAACTAGGAAAAAAAAGCAGCTCACAAGGTGCTTCCACACTTTAGAAAGACTTTCTAAGAGAATTACTTGGATGACTAAAGATCTTGCATGGGAGTTAAGATCACAGGATTGAGTCCCCAGCTTGCTGCTTGGTATAGGGCATATGGAAATAAAATCAGTGCAATAAATTGTAGGACAACTTTCTTGTACAGTGGAAATAATTTGGAAAGCACATGGAGCAATTTGAATGATCTTTGTTTAGGAAAGAAATGTGTTTTAACATCTGAGTCCATCTGCTTGAAGCAGAGAACCACTTGCTTTGTATTATTTGCCCGTTAAACTCCGTCACTTAGAATCTAAATGTGGGAAAGGGACATAGATTTCTTTTTCTGAATATTCAGCAATTTAAATTTTCTAGGTCATTATATCTGTTTAATTACAACCTTCATTTAAGAAACCTAGATTAAAGAAGTTGAAAGAACTCAGAAATTCTTAAATATATCTTATTCTACACAAGCATGGTGAAAATACAGAAAGAAAAAAAAACAGATCACAAAGAAAATATATTATTTCTGATTTCAAACTCATCCTTATGACAATGAACCTGCTCTTTGTATTCATTGAATGCATCAATGATTGTAATGTAATTTTGTCTGGATAAAGCATATAAAATTGGACCCTAATTTATCACTCCCACAATCAGTGATGTGACCTCCACGCTGAAGGGTTCTGTCTAACTCCTTGGTCTAATTTTCAAGCTGTTGTGCTACCATCAATGTCTACCTCTCATATAACTCTCATAGATTACAAGTACTTTGCAAGTAAAGGCACATACAACTGTCTTCATTCACAGATGAGAAAAACTGAGATCTAGAGAGGTGAAGTTACATGCAGAAGGTCAGCTGGAGAGCTGGGAATAAGTTCAGATCTCCTAGCTTCCCCTCCAGAACCCTAGCTATAGCATCACATGGCTGAACTCATCCCTATGAGCGCACTTTATGTAAAAGAGTCACATGATTGCTGAGAGCTCCCGTATGAAACTGGAAATAGGCCTGTTGAGAGTCTCTGGGTTAGGGACAGAGGGGAGAGCAACAAGGGTGACTTCATGGTGTAGGTCTGTGTGGCAGTGCACTTTTGGTGCCTGCCACTTTAACGGCAGGAGCAGGCAGCCACCAGGTGCATGATGAGGGGGGTATTTTCTGAGGGTGCTGAGCTGGCTGATGTGAGTGCAGAGCCACCAGCCATCATCTTTGAAAACTCATAGCTATCAGGAGAGGTCCTGGGCAATTGGAAAAGGGCAAACATAGTGCCCGTATTTAAGAAAGGGAAAAAGGAGGATTCAGAAAACTACAGACCAGTCAGCCTCACCTCAGTCCCTGGAAAAATCATGGAGCAGATCCTCAAGGAATCCATTTCTAAGCACTTGGAGGAGGAGAAGGTGAGGAGGAACAGTCAGCATGGATTCACCAGGAACAAGTTATGCCTGACCAACCTGATTGCCTTATGTGATGAGGTGACTGGCTCTGTGGATGTGGGGAGACCAGTGGATGTTATATACCTGTTTTTAGCAAGGCTTTTGATATGGTCTCCAACAACATTCTCACAGGCAAGCTAAGGAAGTACAGGTTGGATGAAAGGACTGTAAGGTAGATAGAAAACTAGCTGGATCGTCAGGCTCAGAAGGTAGTAGTCAATGGATTGGTGTCTAGTTGGCAGCCAGTATCAAGTGGAGTGCCCCAGGGGTCAGTCCTGGGGCTGGTTTTGTTCAATGTCTTCATCACTGACCTGGAAGATGGGATGGAGTGCACCCTCAGCAAGTTTGAAGATGAATTCAAGCTGGGGGGAGTAGTAGATACACTGGAGGGTAGGAGCAGGATTCAGCGGGGCCTAGAAAAATTGGGGGATTGGACCAAGAGAAATCTCATGAAGTTCAACAAGGACAAGTGGAAAGTCCTGCACTTAGGATACAACATTCCCATGCACCGATACAGGCTGGGGACTGACTGGCTGGGCAGCAGCTCTGCAGAAAAGGACCTGGGGGTTACGGTGGACAATAAACTGAAAATGACCCAACACTGTCCCTTGTTGCCAAGAAGGCTAACAGCATACTGGGCTACATCAGTAGGACCACTGCCAGCAGGTCAAGGGAAGTGATTATTCCCCTGTATTCAGCACCGGTGAGGCCACATCTGGGGTCCTGTGTTCAGTTTTGGGCCTCCCACTACAGAAAAAATCTGGACAAATTGGACAGTCCATTGGAAGGCAACAAAAATGGTGAGGGGGCTGAGGTACAAGACTTATAAGAAGCCGAGGGAACTCGGCTTATTTAGTCTGGAGAAGAGGAGACTGAGAGGGGATTTAATAGCAGCATTCAACTACCTGAAGGGCTGTTCAAAAGAGGATGGAGCGAGACTGTTTTCTGTGGTGGCAGATGACAGACCAAGGAGCAATGGTCTCCAGTTGCAGCAAGGGAAGTTTAGGTTAGATATTAGGAAGAATTTTATCACTAGGAGGGTGATAAAACACTGGAACAGGTTACCCAGAGAGGTGGTGCAATCTCCATTCTCAGAGGTTTTTAAGACCCAGGTAGACAAGACTTGGCTGGAATGATCTAGTTGAGGATGGTCCTGCTTTGAACAGGGGGTTGGACTAGATGTGACCTCCTGAGGTCTCTTCCAGCCCTCATTTTCTGCGATTCTATGAACATAAAGGGGAAAATCCATTTGTCAGATTGCAAGCATTTGAAAAGCAGCACAGCCTCCCCAACTCAGGTTTAAAATTCATGAGATTTGAATGATGTATTTTTGTTCATATGTAATGGAACTTAAAGCATGATAGTGATAGGCAATGTATTTAGTGAGGTTTCTCTGTATGTGAATGTAATATGAGGGACCCCCCCCTTTTTAATTGGGGAAAAAACCTCGTCTTACAGTCAAGTAAAAATGGTATTTATTTAACCTTAAAGTATAAGAAAAGCAACAGCTTTCCTGTGTCATCCCCCACAACAGGCAGGAGCATTCAGTAGTTCAA